ATTTCCCCCCCCCTCCAAAAAAAAACCCATTTCCCCCCCCCCCAAGGACCCCATAAAAAAAAAAACGAAGGGCCCCCCCCCCCCCCCCCCCCCCCTACGAGACATGCATGCCTACATAATCCACTTATATAGATATGAAAACGGAAATGTGTATGCTCGGTCTATTCAGCTGCTCTCTATGAGCCTTCTCACAGATATCCGCTTCGTATTCCAATCACAGACGAGTTCTTTGTCTCCTGCTAACGCAAGCCGTGCGTAGGGTACTGAGAATTAGTTTGACGAGATTGCGCGAAGGCGAAGCCTCAGAATTGAGACGTAGATTTGTCTTCTACAACCTTATATTCCCTTGTATCTGTCCCATGAATGTAATTGAAAATATGCGACTTGGGATCAGCACATATCAGTTGGCGGGAAGCAGGTGAGTAGGTCAAATTTGTTAGGGCCAGAAGTTTGTGGATAATGCACTCCCTCTTGGGGTATTTCTCACCAACTGACGGCAACGAGGTTTGTTTTGAACCAAGCAAAACATTTGCCGAGCCGGTGAAGGATGCTTGCGGCTGAGACACGAGTCGGCGGTGCTGGGCGTCATCACTGATGATGCAAGCGTTACTTCACTGTATTCGCAATGTCTCGCAACCGTGAGCCGCGTCGAGAGATATAGGAAGGGAGCTTGCTGCCTGGCGCAGAGGCAGGTCTCTTGGTGAATTGGAATACTATGCTGAGTGCTGTGCAATTGCGGTAATGATGGAAACCCGGTTTCCATGCAGTGATTTGAAAAACCCTTGCCAGCCTCTCATGAATTTTCTGAGTAGCGATACACCCCACAAGATAAGGCCTCTCGACATTGGCCACCCTGTTGAACGAGTGGTGTTGCTCTGAGGAAAGGATGTTTATTAGTGCGGTCTGGTTTCGCTAGATAACCCTAGCAAAAAATTAGTTTCTACCCGGGACCACCCCACCCGTCTTCCTCGATGGGGGGGTGCCCGGCCAAAATAGGGATCGGCCGAGGTTCGGGTTTGAACCTCAGCCAGAATACAATGGTAGTCCTTCACTTGCACATTGAGCAGCGTCGCTCCTCCGCACCGTCAGCGTCCCCACGTTCCCCTCCCGCTTCGCTCTCGGCGCCATTGATCTTTTTCTGTCTCAGGTCGATTCCAGGCTTATATGAGAGAGGCATATGTTGCCTTTTTCGCAAAGGGGGGGTGGGGGGGAAGAGAGAGGCATGACTTCCACGTTCCAACTCCTGGAACGCCTCTCTCTTTTGTAGTGTTGACACTACTGACATCAGTAGCGAAGCGTTCCAGGGCGTGTCGGAACATTTCAATAATCAATCCAAAATGTTGAATTTGGATTCGTACGCGTCGTGCATTCCAACCGTTGTCGGAACCTTGCTATCTATGGTGTGAACGTTTCATCTGCATAAACCATGACGGCCTACACTTGACGAAAATGTTTCTATCAATTAATAACGTTCTGGTGGATGGGTTTTAATGGCTCACTGAAATATGTTATTTGTCTGAACGCTGTCAATCCCTTCATCGCTATGCGTGTACAGTAACTTGCGATAGGGTCTGGGCATATACTTGCCCTTTCTGGATACAATAACTTGCGGTAGGGTCTGGGTATATACTTGCCCTTTCTGGATCAAAAAAGAAGGAGAAGGCCCACATCACATTCCACGTGATTTTGAAATGCATCACCTTCAACTTTCATCGAATGCATTAACAATTGCTAGAAAATGAAGAAAAACCAAGGTAGCAGCTAGTGTTGGTCTTGCTATTACCAGAGAGTCGTTTGCATATGCTTTGACGGGACTTGCATATGGGCAAGTGTGGTTTCTTTTTGCAATGGTATGAGAGGGTCTTCTTGCCGAGAAAGATTGTTAACAAGGATAGGTTTCGGGTCTTTTAAAGCGATTAAGGTGCGCAACAGTTCATAGCAGCCATGACCAGTGGGACTGGAGAGGGCACTGTGAGGGGAAGTTTCGATCGATCGCTCCAGTATCGGTAGGTCGCTATTCCGCATCGTGTCTTGCAAAGACTTTCACAAATGTTCCTTGTGATGGCGCTGGTACTGTAGATGTCGAGAGTCACCTGAATGCAGTTCAGCTGTTGAGATGGCCGCGTTAGTGTGAGGGATATGCCGGTACCCTTGTGGCTAAGCGGACTTGACAAGTCGGGCTTGGGGGAAAGCAAGTTCGGTGCAGAAATGTACGAAACGTGTAAATTAAACCTGAAGCAACAATGGAACAAATGGAATAAGATCCAACTCTTTTCATCTCACATGATTGGATCGGTGATAGACGTACAGTACCGAACAACTCCTTCTCACGGTCCTCCTCCTCCTCCCCCCCCCCCCCCCCCCCCCCCCGCCCTCGCCCCCGATGTCCTCGTTTGCTCCGCATCCGCTGTTTGCCTGCAAGTTCTTTCCCGCTCTCCAGAGCCCTCGCTGACCCCCATCCCAACCCCCCATCCATAATGTCCGCCTCCTCAAAATTGCTCCCAGGGCCTATATCGCTCCGCCAATTCTACAAATACCTCGGCCGGTTCGCCCGCTATTCTCCCTCCTCGACACGCGCTGTTCCCCCCTCAAAACGCATCCGTGCCCCGATCGAGCCCGGCGTTGGCATCTTCTTCTACCCTCCAGACTCGTGGACGAAGACGCACGCACTAGCGGCCGGCCCACTCGGACAAACCGAGGAGACTATCCACCCCTCCAAGTTCCAGATCTCGCGTCCGATCACTGCGCCAGACGGCAAATACACGCCAGAGCTTCAATATTGGGGCGTCGGTGGTGCAGTGCAGGTGACGAAAAGCTTAATTAGTGGTGTGGAGCAAGGGTTTGCGGTGGCGCTGGAGCTGCACGGCGTTGGTTATAGGGCCGAGGCGGACGAAGAGAGGAACAAGCTCGTCATGAGGCTGGGGTACTCGCATGTCGTCGAGTTTCCGCTCAATGAGAACGATGTGTTTTTTACCGTGATCAATCCGCAGCTCGTGCAGGTAGCAGGGATTAATCGTGCAGACGTGCATCAAATGGCGGCGAAGGTTCGTAAGGCGAGACCCCCAGAGCCTTATAAGGGCAAGGGAGTGCGATACAAGAATGAGCCCGTCAGGAGAAAGGAAGCAAAGAAAGACTAGTAAATTTTGGGTTGGCTACTTGCGCAATAACTTGATACAGGGTGCGAGAAAACTTGGTTTGTGCGCGAGGGTCTTTGGACATGATTCATTTTAAACTTTAGCGCCTTACGGTTATTTCTGGCTCTTGAAACACACCGACCTGGGAAGCTTCTCTTTCAAAATTTGATTCGAATCCTCTCAAATGGCACATTCATATCCACTAAACCTCCACATTCGGTCCTCAGGTGGCGAAGGTACTGACGTTTCAGAGGGTTTCTATTCAACCCAGCCTCGGCATTTGATTCTCTGACACCGCGCATGAACGAATTGAAAATCGCTCGTGATTCTGGTGTATTTGGAGAAACATGGCTTGCCCTCTTGGCAGCGTAGAAAATCCGCAACGCGAAATCCGGCCGTGAGCCGCGGCCACACACTCTCATGAGTGCCTCGTACACGCAGCACTCTTCGAGCACAGTCGCGGAAGAGGCGTCTGAACAATTCCTCAGTTTCTTCCAGAGATCGACTGCCTTGGATACGTTACCTTCATAACTTGAGATGGCTGCGTTAACCATCGCCGAAGTCCAGGTGGTTCCTCGTGCCAAAGCTTGACTGAGCAAAAACTCTGCTGTTTCGGGGTCCGGGGGCTTGGCCTTTGCGCAAGTTGCAATCGCTGTGGTATACATGCGATCATCGCATTGCAGGTCATTGTCGAAGCACGCATCTATGATCCTGATAGCTAGCTGGACATCGGCACAGTGGTATGCGGCTTGGAGCAATGCTCGAACTGTCAAAAAATCGAGCCGAATACCCTGGGAGATCATGCCTTCGAAGGCGCTTGCCACCCCATCTATGTCTGTAGCTTGTCCAAAGGCAATGATTAGGGCATCGAAATACTTTCATGGTGTTGATGCGACGATGCAAAGGGGAAGGTCGAAGCATCATGGAAACAGGAAAAACTACCAGTTAGTCTTCCGCGCAAATAAACAAGCAGAAAGGGACTGAAGGACTCTGCACAATAATAATGACGTACGTCATCTGACCGCCAAAGGGTGCAAGCTTGCGAAGACGTACCTTTTTGTCTATATCGTATTTGTTTTGGTCGGCGCTCTCCAAAACCTGCAGCATTCGGGAGCGGATGTAACCACTGTCCGGCGGAGTTGAATGTTTCCGCGTGAGGAGTCTGAGAATTAGGGTCTCTGTGGTAATATTAGTTTGCACATCATGACGCAGCATGCTATTGGTGATGGCGTGGACAAAATGACTGGGGTCGCATTCATTTGCACCGACTGCTTCGGGTGTTTTGCCAAAGCCGTCTGGGAAAGCGAATCGGTTTGAGTTGACAGCCATCTCGAGCAAGGAATTATACGTAACTACATCGACGTGGAGGTCGTTGCCCTCGTGTTGTCGAACGAGGATCTCCGCAAAAAGGCGAATGGCCTCCGCAAAATCGCCCTTCCTCCCGAGCGCATGCAGGCAGGTATTATATGAGCAGGCAGAGGGGCGAGGAATGTTCTCCCGGTCGTCCTGTTGAACGCCTGGGAGACAGTTCGTAACCCCGGTACGCATCCACCTCAAAACGGTGAGCATCTGTGGCGTCGCGCTCTTCCTCGCCAGTGCCCTCAATGCCAGATTCCAGGTGCGCTCATCCGGCCCATCGGACGTATCCTGGGCGGCCCAGGTAAGTGCTGTCAGCAGGGCGTCGACCGCCGGGTGTGCGGCCTTCCACACGTCGCAGGCCTTGATGGCGACGCGCAGGGTAACATTAGTTGGGCTGACGTTCCTACTGCGCATGAGCGAAAGCACGGAGAAGGCGTGTGCCGGGTCGCCATGCTCGGCGTGTGCGTTTGCGATGATGGTGTAGTTGACGGCGGAGAGGGTGAAGCCGTCCGTGACGGCGGCTCGCACGGCGGCCTGCATGGCGGTGAGGTCGCCCGCGACCGCCGGGCGGTGGATGTTCTGCGCGTGGACACGCGGGGGAATGCGGCGTGCGGACTGGCGGCGCGGGCGCCGCGTTGGGTTGGACGGGCGCCGCGGTGGGAGGGGCGGTACCGGCGTGGCATTGGTGGACGCGCAGCGCGGTACGTCGCGGACGCTGCGCGCCTGCGAGGCGGCGGGGGCGGGTAAGAAGGCACGCACGTACGGCATTGGAGGAGTTGGGGGGAGGGGAAGCCGGTGTAAGAAATGGACGGGGGCAGGGCGGAGACGCGGGTGGTGGGATAAATAGGAACGGGCGAGCAGTAAAGGGTGACCCGGCCGCTATTGACCGGTTGACCCGAAGGAGGTGACCTGTGTTGGTGAAGAGCGCCCGCCATCACTGTTATGTCTTGTGGTTTGCAATCACAGAAATCACAAGGCGCCAGATTTTTCCACGGCCATGTCATACATACCCTTCGTACTGTACAGGACACAGCCATGAACTCCGTCGCTCATCAACGATCAAAACTCCCTTTTCCCTTCCACCTCCTTTCGCGTCCCCGACCCCGCCGCCCTCCCCCCCTCCACGTATGCCACCATGAGTCGCAATCCGGACATGCCTCGCCGCGAGGTGTCCGAGACCGTTATGGAGCTGCTGCACGCGGAAATCGTCACCTACTTTCTGCGTGGACACGGGGCCCACGCCTTCGTCCCACCCATCCCGGAAAAAAATGAGGAGAAAGATGAGGAGAAAGATGAGGAGAAAGATGGGACGCCGCAGTTGACGCCATTGCAAAGCGAAGAAGAGGAGGTCCTCGCGGCGAAGAGATGTCGTCTAGAGGCCCTGGGGCAGGATGTCGGCGGCAGACTTGTGGAGAGGTATGTGGTCGATCGCGATCGCCTGGACCACAACTTGGACATGGTCAAGTTTATCTGCAAGGACTTTTGGGAACATGTCTTTCGCAAGCCGATCGATGTGCTCAGGACCAACCATAGGGGGCTTTATGTGTTGACCGATAATGACTTTCGCTGGCTGAGGAGTGTCAGTAGGGATGGAGAGCACCCGGGCGTGTTTGAGGACTATGTCGTGTTGGCATGTGGTTTGGTATGTGGTGCTCTCACTAGACTTGGCATTAAGTGTCGCGTATCCGCCAAACTTCTTCCCCTAGCCATCGGCCAAAGGTGCTCGTTCAACCTCCAGGTCATTCAAAATTGACAACGCTACGTTTCCCAAAAGGCTACAGTTTCCCAACCGAAGTCACCGACGCAGATCGTCGATATCACACATAACTCTTTTTACACATCCATCGCGCTTCCCGAGTCTAGACTCGTTCACCGGTGATACCCGCATTCAAAATCCATACTTTTTCGCTGCAAGCATGGCCGCCGCTTGTTCTGCATTTCCGTTGGTCGCCCTCAATGCCTCCTCGGCCTCTGCTCTTGGAAAGCCCATCTCTATGAGACGAGATACCTCCTGACCACCCTGTCGCCTAGAACCTCTACCTTGATTTCCTGTTCTTGTCGAAGGTGCCGTGGACGAAGGCGCCGACCTCGTCGGCGAGGCCGAACCCGTGCGAGTTGATCTGGGCGGTGATGCTCTTTGCGGTTCTTGCGCAGGTTGTTGTTTTTTGGATTAATTCTTGCTTGTGTCGACCGCGTGGGTCACCAAATAGTTTAAGACGAGTCTCATAGGGGGAAGTCGATGCTCGCCTGATGTTTGCGAAGCATGTCAAGGCCCAGAAGCATGTCGTACTCGCCGCCGGCCGCGTCCATGACCGTAAAGCTCACCTCAAAAACCTCCGAGTTGAGCGTGAGAAGCGCCAGGTGGATGCGGCCGTAGATCTTGGCCGTCCCCACGCCATGTGCCATACCTTCAAATCGAGTGTCTAGTAGCCGCAAGATGTTGCATCGCTCCGCGCACTCTTTCGAAATAATTGTCGCTTGCGCACCGCTGCACATGGCACAAAGGCACCACAAAGGCGATAAGCACATAGGTGATGTCAGATGTCAGGAATCGAAAATAAACGCGCTGCCGTTACCAAAACTGTACATCTCCACAGTGTAACGTACCTGTCAACGAATGCCTTGACGCCGCTGACTGAATTGACCTTGCAATCTACAAACAACATGACCACACTTCCAAAACTTTCTGGGTTATGCTCCATCGCAGCCTCCAAATTTTGTGCAACATTCTCCATCCTAATTCTCTCCTCAATCGCCTTTTGCGCGCCCTGCGACATAGGATTCCCCCCTTCCGCGCCAGGAGGGATACTGAACTGCCCCATGGCCTCTGCAACGGCGCGTTCAGCATCGGGCCGCCCCTCTCTCAGGCCCGCCGCCAGTCCAGGGTTGAGGGCGCGCAGGCGCTCCATAGCGGCCGGGTCTGTGCGGAGCGCGTCGAGCAAGGCACCCTGAGGGTTTGGTGGCGGGGCGCTTCGCATGGCCTGTTTCCGTGAGACTAGCAGAAGGTCGCCGTCGGATAGACCAGATGAAGCCACAGTCGCCATGGGAGAAAGAACATTGCCGTTGAAACGCAGCTCCTGCTGGTCGGTAGGAATGGCGAGCTCGTTCTGCACCATGGCAGAGACGGTGCCGATATTGCTTGAGGAGGAGACCTCGATGAGGGATACGGCACCTGCGTCGTTGACGATGGTGAGCTTAAGCGGCATGGTAGAGGTTGGGGGGTTCGGGAACGGGGGTTCGGGAGCTTGTGCGTTTGGAGAGAGCAGCGGTAGAGTGTTGAGAGGGCTTGGTATAAGAGAAAGGGGGAAGGTGGGGATGACATGGTATTATGTGGGGGTGGAACGCGTCAGGTCAATTGTTGCATTCGTGGCGAAACTCTTGAAACGTGGTATACCTGTAGAAGCAGTTGCTCGTTTTAGGAGAGGGGTGCGCCAATTAGAAGGCCCCACGTTGATGGCGACATCTTTGGAAACGCTGTTTAGCAGGGCGCTGTCCTCCTCCTCGCAGCGAGCATTGTGCCAAGACGAACAGCTCAGCCGGGCTGCTTACACACATTCACATCAATCTGCAATGGAAGCTGTTGTCGAAGCCTTATTATGTACTCCCTCTGGAAGAAACGCCATGTAAGGGAACTTAAAGCTGGTTTGCTGCGGTGTGTATTCATCATGTGTACACTCTTGGTCAATATCCATGGCCGCTTGTATCTGTGATGCATTTAAAGGAAAATTAACACACTTCCAGGTATACGAAAACAGTTCCCCCACAGAATACTCTCTGTTAAAAAACAATAGCGACGAGAAATCAATGGTTCTAGTACCGGAATGTTTTCCAGAGCCCACCAGTAGCACAAAGTCCGGGTCATACTTATGAAATACAGATGTAAACATACAACAGTATTAGTGAACTATTTTCGGTAAACTCAATTATTGCAGGTTGCATAACGAGCAACTCGCAAGCGATAGTTCGTAGACGGGCTGTGCAGACTTTGACATTTTTTCCCGTTGATATACAATCGTGCAGCCGTGAGTAACGCCTTTTGATTCAAGAACTAAGTGTAAGTGTGATTGTCTTTCGATCGCACCAGAAAGATGTCATCTCTAATGTTTAAGGATATTGTTATTATAAGACAAGAGCTTTCACCCAAATCGTGTCTCTAAGAAAGTTGATGTCGATGTAGACAACTCGCACTACAAAACCTTCTCTGCAAGAGAATTGGTTGATATCAACCTTACTGTAGCTCTTCCACATACTAAAATATGGAAGGGGAGTGAAGACGGGTAGCAGCATATTTTTCGAGGGAAAAGGCGGGTTGTTTCGGATTGATAGGGCTGCAGATTCTGGCTTAGTGTAATAACCTTCAGAGTAGCGGAGATGAACGAAGGGGCCATGCGCACTTCAATACAGCATGCGCTCATAGAGTGCTCTTCATCGTTATGAAGATCGGAAAGCGCGCGTCGACAGCAGAGATAGCACAGCGTCTGCGGCATTAATATTACATCATACCATTCTCGTAGTGCGCAACTGTTTTGGCATGTCAACGGACAAGAGCACCATGCATCTCACACGCATCTCTCTACTGTTGTTCTAGGAGATTGAAATCAAGCGATATACTCTTCATGCAGTACTTTCCGTTCTTATTGCAATAGAGTAAGGGTTCAAGAGAAGGTGTGCCGGCCCGCATTTACTTCATTCATGTAAATGGTACAATAGGACACAGTCGTAGAAGTCACACAACATTAGGATCTGGACGTCACAGCAATGACAAATACAAATGCACACGGTGAACACGTGTCATATATGAAATTGGCATCCGTGCTGTATGCTTTCACCAAATGTGGTGTTGGCAGCAATCTTAGCAAGCAATTCCGAGGGCTCGTAATCTGTGAATCGAGAATCTCAAAGTCAAAACAAACGTCAATGACGTATCTCAATGAGTACGCTCGATATCGCACGTTGCCTAAAGCCTTCTCAAGAGAAACGACCAAGCCCGTGAGCAGCTTACTTGTCGTTGGCTCCCGCCTTCATCCATTGTACCGAACAGTTCGCACTCCCCCCCTAATCCCCTAAAGTATCTAACAGCGAGCAGCGCACAACGGGGACCTGCGAGGGAGAGGTTGCAGATATGAATGGATTTCCACGAAAAAATTGGTTCAGCAGTACGCGGCAGTGATTTTACCGAAGACAAAAGCAAAAGACATGGACGGGAATGCTTCACTTGGTGGAGGTGACGTCATCTGAGGTCCACGTCAGTGTTTCTATAGCAACCAATAAAATGTGTCAGAAGATGCAGGCAACGCAATCCATTATGTGTACACGTGTACGAGCACCACTAAACATGACGAGCCTCTCTTTCCCGCTGCGTTCCCACTACCGATCAACCACCGACCCGCCCTCCCCATCGTCGACCACCGACGCCCATTTCGCACAACACCAATGTCCAACATGCCCGAGCTGAAAATTACCTACTTCGACTTCCCGGTACGTCATGCACTTTCCTCCCCCCTTCACCTCTCCCGGACTCCCATGCTGACGCATCCCCTCCCCAATCACAGGGCCGTGCCGAGGCCTCGCGCCTCGCTTTGCACATTGGTGGCATCCCTTTTACCGATGAGCGTCTCCTGGTTGACGAATTTGTCACTGCAAAGCCCTCGTTCCCTTACGGGAGCCTCCCGGTGCTCACGGTAGATGGACAACTGCTCGCGCAAAGCGCCGCCATCCTACGCTACTGCGGCTGTCTGGCCGACCTGTACCCCGCCGACGCCCTGGAGGCAGCCCGGGCGGACGAGGTCGTTAACGTCGTCGTCGAATTCGTGGCGGGGCTGGAGGAGATCGGCGGCTCCGCGGAAGAGGATGATGACAACGGCGTACAGATGAGGGTGCTCGATTTCGTCAATCAGGCCTTGCCCAAGTTTTTGGGGGGGCTGGATCGTAGGTTACAGAGCTTTGGAGAAGGGCCGGCCGCTGTTGGCGCTGGTATTACGATTGCCGATCTCGCCATTTACGTGTGTTTGCTCAACATTGCGGCGGGCGCGTTTGAACCGGTGTCCATGAAGGTAGTCCAGGGGTACACCAGAGTGGTGGCTTCGTTCGAGATGGTCAGAACACATCCAAAAGTCGTGGCTTGGAACAATCAAATCGCCCGCAAAGCCGCCGACGTCCGGCAGAGAGCGGAGGCGGGAATGCCAAACTAATCGCTCTCCTCTTCTTCACCAGAAGTAGTCTCCCTGTCTCCGTCATTGCACCCGACTAACTCTTCTTCCCCGGCAGTAAATACTTGACCCCAATCATGGCAAAAATCCCCGAGCAAACAACCCTCAGCGTCCCCTCCTGCAATCTCAACGCCGTGCTGGCGCCCAAAAACCCTCCCAGCAACGCCCCTGCCACAAGTCCCGGCAACCTCTCCGTGCGCACGTGGCCGAGCTTAAAGTGCGTGTACGCCCCCCTTATCGACGGAAGCACCATCGCCATCAACGCAGTCCCCTGCGCGACAGTCTGCGAAAAGCCAAGCAACACAAGCGTTGGCACGTTGATCGTGCCGCCGCCAATTCCTAGCAAGCCGCTCAAGAACCCGGACAGCATCCCCACCACCGCCAGTACGGGGATTCGTACAGTGCTAGGCAATGCGACGGGGGAAAGCATGGCTACTTTGGGCAAGAGCGGAATAGCAAAAGATACGAAGAGCAAAAACGCCCCGAAGCATCTCTTGAGCCTTTTCGCGTCGAGACTGGCCGAGGCGCGGGCTCCCGCGGGCGCGGCGAGCAAGGCGGCGGCCATGAGAGCAGCGGCTGCGGGAAGGTCGACGCGGGCGCGGGTGAAGTAACGAAGGGCAGAGACGAGAGCCGTGATAGCGACCACGAGGAGGGAGGTGCCGTGGGCTTCGTGTTGGGCTAGGCGGGTGAGGGTGAGAAGAGGGGTGAGGACTACGCCGCCGCCTGCGCCGATGAGAGAGCCGACGGTGGAGGAGAGGAGGCCGTGCGACAGGTCGCGCACGGGATGGGGGGGACGGGGGGAGGTAGGTTGGACAGACAGGTGGGGAACATGGCGGGAGAGAGGGCGGTAGACAGCGCAGGACCAGCGCAGAGGTCTTGAGGAGAGGATGCGGAACGGGGTTTGGGAGAGGGCGAGAGGGGAGACGAAAAGGGTTGGGTGTGGGGAAGGCATCGTAGCGGGGAGGTTGGCGAAATGGCCGGGAAACGCCATGGAAGAAGTCTGCAAAGCACAGCGGGCAGAGCCCAGGGATTAGCAACTACCAAGGGTAGAGCTCAGAGGGGCACGTGCTTGTGGCGCTTTGCTGTTGGCCGTTCCAGAAAAGCCGCGACGCATAAAATGACTCGCTCCCTCCCGTGTGATCCACAGTCTCGAATCATCCCCCGCTCCACCACCGTCACGCCGTCCCACCGCGCCCATGTCGTCGCCCGCTCTGCGTCTCCCGCCCCAGCGGGCCTCCCCCCCACCCGATGCGCCGCCGCGCGACCAGGCGCGCCTCTTCATCGGCAACCTACCCCCGCGGGCCACGGACGCGGCTCTGACGCGGCTGCTAAGCAAATTCGGCGCGGCGGGCGGCGTGTCGCGGCACCCCACGCGCGCCTTCGCACACGCCTCGCTCCGCGACGACGCCGCGTTGCAACGTTGCGTCGCCGCACTCAACCGCACCACCTGGTGCGGCGGCGTCATCACCGTGCAGAGAGCGCGCGAGCACTTTTGGCACAGGCTCTCACGGGAGTGGGAGCAGGGCGCCGACGGCGAGCCCACGTCGCCGGAGGAGGGACAAGGTTCCCCCGCGCAGCCATTTGAGAACACGGGGAAGGGGAAGCACACTGTCTTTTCGTTCCCAGATATCGACGATGACGACAATACGCTGCTGGCAGATGCTGGTGTTCACGTTCACGCCCCGCGACCTGACGAGCAGTCATGCAGCGACAACCAAGGCTCCACGCCGGGCCCTCCGCCGCGGTTAGCGGCGCCTGGCCCCGTTCCGAAATCTGCCACGCTGGACTCGACGCTGCAGCTCTTCGGCCTGGTAGAGGCGCCTCTCACGGAAGGAAATCCCGTTGCCGCTCAAGGTGAAACAGCACGCGCGAGGGAAGAGGGGACGCACTGCGAGCGGCCGGCGAAGCGCGCGCGTAGCAAGCCGAACGAGCAGGAGTTGCAGCGCGCGGAAGAGGCTGCGCACCAGCCCGCGCTTATCGATTTGGACGGGGAGAAGGAGACGGCGCTCTCAGTCTTGAAAGGGTTGTTTGGGAAGGAAGTTAAGAGTTTGGAAGAGCGGATTAAAGCAAATCGAAGGCTTGGGTTGTTCCGTAAGCTGGATATTAAGCCGACTCGTCAACCGAAAAGTATTCAAGGAGGAGGGAAAGGGCGAAACGTTCGCGCGTCGTCGAAACGAAGGGGGGATCGCCCGTTATCCTCCGCAACGGTGAAAGATTCAGGGATGAACCCGAGCGTATATTTGAATCTACGTGTTCATCGAAGAGCTGGTTTGTACCGAAAGCTCGCGACTGTTCCGTCAGATAAAGATCCGGATATTGCAGATGATGCAGCGCAGAGTTAGCGTTTCTTCTGTTATCTTAACTGTTAACTTCCAGAAATAAATACCTTGAGACCTGTTCTTTTAGTCGGGTTTTTGCTAATCCCTTGTCTGCCCCAGCCTCTTGTTCTGCGGGGGGGAAAAAAGCGCAAGCCGGACGCTTCTTGTGTAAACGCACTTGCGCCTAATACTTTCCAAGCATCTTAGATCGGTAACCATCCATTACAACTCGGGATGCAGCACACTCTTCGTGCCCTCGGCCCCGCTCCCCTTCCATCCCTCACATGATTGGTGCAGAGTCATCAGACACCATCCGACCGTATAACAAGACGGGTCTACCTTTTCCTTCAAAAATACACTCCTGACCCCCCCTGCCATTCGTCGCCGCTCCCTTATTAATATTTCCTCTGGCGCTTCCCCCCGCTGGTCCAAACACAAGCCAGTGCTGACCGGAAAACTATCATCATGCACCGCTTCGGTCCGCATCGACATCGCACACGCCCCATAGCCGCGGCGCAATCCGTCGAAGCTCTGAGGCAATGCTGGAACAATCCACAAACCACTTCTCTCCACCGCCGCTGGCACTGATGTTGAGCACTTCCAAGTTGGCCGAACACGCCTGCGCCACCACCCTCGCGGCATCGAGGACAAAACTGGCCGTCTCAGCCTCCGCGGCCATCTTGGGCGCATTCCCCTGCAGCGGCACACTGACGGCGATATTACCGCTGCCGTTGCTCCCGGGCGGTACGACGAGATTCTTGCGATTTAGAAACAGCCGAAACTCTCTCATAGTCGCGCCATTGTTCAAAACGGTGGCCTGCACCGCACTCAGCGGCAACGAGCGGGCGACAACAAACAACGATTCCAGCTCGGTGTTATGCATGCCGACAGCGTGACACATATCGGCAGTCCACTCACAAAGAATGCTCAAATGCTTAATCCTGGGGCCAAAGTTTTCAAAGACATCCAACGGCGGGCGCTGATTTTCCGCCATCCACAAGCTCAGCGAGGATAAGTGGGGGAATGAGGTGGCCAGCTGGTGGACCTGAGCGGCTGTGAAACTGACGCCCACGACATTCAGCCTGCGCACAGTGGAGCCGAGCGAACGGGTGAGCAAAGCAAAGCTTTTGTGCGAGAAGACGGTAGGTTTGGAAGAGCTGCCCACCAGCAAGTCCAAGTCGTGCAAGCGCGGGAGGGTGCGAAACACGAGGTCGAGATCGGTGGCTGGGATGCCATCCATAGTCCGAACGGCAAACGACTTGAGCCTGCCGCCTTTGACGACGGCGCCCAACATGGCGCTAAACAGCAGCCTCTGCTCGCGCGCACACGCGCACAAGTCCACATAAAAGTCGTTCTTATCCGAGGCCTTGAACGCGCGATGGCGGATCCAATGCATGGCACCAAACTCGGCGCCAAACCTCTCCAGGCTGTCGCAATTGGTTGCCATCTTTGCAAACGCCTCAGTTGTAACGCAGCTCCACGGAATGTTAAGCGTACGCAACTTGCGCGCCACGGGCGAGCAGACAAGGTTGACAAACTGCCTGCGCATCTCGTCAACGTCTCGCACATGACTAACGGGGCCCAAGCTGAGCCTGACGAGGGCGGTGCACGCGCGCGCGACAGCGGCCACGTCCATGGGTCGCGGGCACTGTATGTCGAGCTCGCGCAGATACGGGAAGGCGCGGAGCATGGCGACGACGTGCTCGAAGGGGGCCGAGGCGTGGCCGGCCAGGGCCAGCTCGCGCAGCGGCGGGCGGGCCTCCGCAAGCAGCAGCGGCAGCGAGTCGCAGCGCGGGCGCGGGCGCACGGGGGCGTGGGCGATGTGCAGCGCGCGCAGCGAGTCGCGCGCGAAGACGACCATCGAGCGGGCCCACGGCTGGTCGCGCGGCGAGAAGGCGTGCACGGACACGACCAGCGCGCGCATCAGAGAGAGGAAGCGGCGCGATAGCTGAGCGAGCACAGGCGCGTGCCGGTGGAAGCGCGCGATGGAGCGCTGGGAGACGTGCCCGTGTGTCCGTAGCGACAGCGCGGCCGAGAGGATGCGCAGGAGAACGTCGTCGGGCAGGTCGGTGAGTACGGTCTCGCGACGGCGGCGGCCGAGAATGGAGCGGCGGGGATTTGCGGACGGCATGGCGGGTACGGGGGACATGGTAGAAAGGGGGGGGGGGGGAGATGTACGGCGAATGAATAAGCTGTCTCTTCTTCTTAAGGTGCGAGTGCGAGCGACCATGTCGCGAAAGAGATCGAGGTCAGATCGAAATCAATAAACAAGGTTGT